AAGCCATATATATCGGGCAGGCACAAAAGCGGGGTGGTCTTGCATGATTTGCTACACGTAGGATGCTGCAATCATAATTTCAGAACAAGCAACAGTTGCGTCACTTGCACGGTTCACAGTACAGTGCTACCTCGGATTACATACGCTTCAGGTTACATACGCTTCAGGTTACATACGCTTCAGGTTACAGACTCCGCTAACCCAGAAATAGTGCTTCAGGTTAAGAACTTTGCTTCAGGATGAGAACAGAAATCGTGCTCCGGCGGCACGGCAGCAGCAGAAAGCCCCATTAGCTAAAGTGGTGCTTCAGGTTAAGAACAGTTTCAGGTTAAGAACGGACCTCCAGAACGAATTAAGTACTTAACCTGAGGTACCACTGTAAATTGATGTACTGATCTGATCATTTTTCTTCTCAAAATCAGTCTAATATTTTTTCTCTAAATCACGACAATGTAGTCCCAGTGTTTCCCAACCAGGATATTCCAAGGGAGCCACAAGTGAAAATCACATAAAGAGGGAGACAGGGGACAGCATGAGATTAGGGGGTCACAGAGGGAAGTGAGAAGTGAAGAAAACAGAGAAGTAACCGAGAAAAGAAAACAGAAAAGTGAAGAAAATAGAAAACAGAGAATTAGAGTTAACAGAGAAGTTCCCGTGATTCTCAGTGGATGGAGCACCACATGGCACTCTGTGGCCAAGCTGTCCGCATGTCGTTTGTCACAGGCAAGGTGTGTGGCTGCAGCAGTGTTAGTGTGCGGGGTGCTGTTTCTTTGTGCAAAAATTACTGCAAAAGGACATGTGTTGCTGCATGCAATGGTTACTCAGCCTAACGTGGAATCGCCTTAACATGATGGGCAGAGGTGATCTTTGGTTATCCCTCAAAGAAAAAAGGGTAAAGGTAAAGGGACCCCTGACCATTAGGTCCAGTCGTGGCCGACTCTGGGGTTGCGGCGCTCATCTCGCTTTATTGGCTGAGGGAGCCGGCGTACAGCTTCCGGGTCATGTGGCCAGCATGACTAAGCTGCTTCTGGCGAACCAGAGCAGCGCACGGAAACGCTGTTTACCTTCCCGCCGGAGTGATACCTATTTATCTACTTGCACTTTGACATGCTTTCGAACTGCTAGGTCGGCGGGAGCAGGGACCGAGCAACAGGAGCTCACCCCGTCGTGGGGATTCGAACTGCCGACCTTCTGATCGGCAAGTCCTAGGCTCTGTGGTTTAACCCACAGCGCCACCTGCGTCCCTCTCAAAGCAAAAGAACTGGATATAAAAAAAGCTTGTTTCTGGTCATCAAGCACAAAGGTCACATTGATCGAGAAATACTTAAAAGTATAAATTTTTATGTAATTGTTTTTTTGTACTGAATATAAAAATTATAAATAAGACATGTTCTATTTACAAACAAAACATTTAAATAGCTACCTTTCTACTGGTAGGATGGGGAGGGCACAGGAAGGAAACAGGGTCGGAAGGGGCCCATGGTTGGGAAAACAGTTGAGAAATGCTGGTGCAGTCTATTAAAATGTCTATTAAGATGAGTTACTCCAAACGTTGAGGTTCAAAGTAAATGCCCAAGGAATGTTTAGCAAACTTCAGAAACAATGAAAGCAAACTTCTGTTCTACAAATGCTTATCCTGTTTTCATTTTGTACACTGATGTGGAAAAATATATGATTTGGGTTCTGCTTCCAAAACATTAACCCATAAAAAACCCTTCAGATATAGTCTAGCCTAAATCCTCAGGCATTTTGGTTACCTTCTTCACCTCACCACTGGCACCCATTGCTCTCCCCTTTCTCCACAATATGTGAATCCGTAAGGAAAGACGAGAAGGAGCAAACAGAATAAACCACCGGTCTAGTTCTCCTCACAAACCATTTCATAACTGGTGAAAATAGGCAAAGAGGAGCTAAAAACATTTAGGGTCAGAATTTTACACCACCACAAGTCGAGTCTTTAGAAAGTGTAAAAGTTTTCCTCACAGGGTCCCAATAAAACACATGGGAGGTATTCAACTCAATTTTCCTCCAAGTAGACCCACTGAAATTAAAGACGTAACTTAGTAATGTTCATTAATTTCAATGGGTCTACTCTAAGTAATCCCATAGTTGAATGACATCCGTGGTTTGGTCCTGAATTCCCCACTCAGTGTCTTTCTGTAGTTACTCCACTTACTTTAGTATAGATTGTTATGTGCACCTTATTTTTAAAATTCCCCTATGTTAAGAACTAACACTTATTCAAGATCATTAATGCTTCACAGAATCCAAGTGGAGTCCTTCATCCCCAGGAAGACACTACCAAACTAACACCCCAACCCTGTCATGCCACTGTGTTCAAAATGTTAATCTGACATTCCTACTAAGAAGGAAACAGCAGAACTGCAGCAACACCTAATTAGTTCCTGCTTGCATCATTTTTATTTCTCCTAAAAATAATCCACATTCATTTCCCCTATCTTAACATTGCTGCTTCTCGCCTCAACTGTCTTCTTTTCTCGAATGAGGAACAAAAATGAACAAAAACAAAATCCTACAAACAATGATGAAAGGTAAGGTAAAGGTAAAGGTAAAGGACCCCTGGACAGTTAAGTCCAGTCAAAGGTGACTATGGGGTTGCGGTGCTCATCTTGTTTTCAGGCCGAGGGAGCCGGCATTTGTCCACAGACAGCTTTCCGGGTCATGTGGCCAGTATGACTAAATCGCTTCTGGCACAACAGGACACCGTGATGGAAACCAGAGTGCACGGAAATGCAGTTTACCTTCCTGCCGCAGCGGTACCTACTTATCTACTTGCACTGGCGTGCTTTTGAACTGCTAGGTTGGCAGGAGCTGGGACAGAGCAACGGGAGCTCACTCCGTCGCGGGGATTCAAACCGCCGACCTTCCGATCGGCAAGCCCAAGAGGCTCAGTGGTTTAGACCACAGCGCCACTCGTGCCACCATTAATAACCAACCAGTGTCCTTGGAGGGTCTTTTGATCCAATGGGAGGCAACTGATCATGGAAGAGGGAAGACCATTTTTAACAATTCTCCCTTCCCTGGCAGCCCCAACGTTCCTTTAAAAAATAAAAGTGTTATGGAGGGTTGGGGGACAGAACAGATTTAGAGGGTGCTACAAGAGGGAGAAGCAGCAAAAAAAAAATTGACTCTCTTCATCTTCTGTGTGTGGATGCCTAGTGCTAAAGCACCAAGAACTCTAATTGGTTATCACCCACACAGTTTAAATAGTTTCGCTCAGAGCTGCACAGTCAAAATGTGGACATATTCTCTCCTGTCCCCCCCCCCCCCGAAAAAAACCTACCCTGAAGAAGTATTCAGCTTAGTTCTGTGTTTTTAATCTTTTAACCTTCCAAGATTAAAGGTTTATGGAAACCACAAATATTATAACTTCGGCTCATTTCTGTTTACATGCTTCTTCTCTCTGCTTGTAATTAATGATAGGCATGTTAGAGCAAGCTAGTAAAAGTGAGCTCTCGTATATTAAGACAGTGAAAGGAGATAAGTTTCAGGTAGACAGCATTTCAAGAAAAGTTGGGTAGACAAAACAAAAGAGAGGCATACATCTCCATCTTTTAGCAAATGGGCTATAAATTGTTCCCTTTCAAAGGCAATGGAAGTGATGACAGGTTTGACTAAGTGTCTGCTGTAACTGGAGCACCTTTATGGAGTAAAACCTCTTTTCTCCTTCAGAGCTGTTTTGTAGGTGCATACCTTGTTAACATACTGAAAGGCTTTCCTTCCTTTAGCCATGTTTAATGAAACTCCCATGAAATTTGTTCAGCAAAAGAAGGGGAAAGAAGATTACTTCCCCACATTTCTCCCCTCACGTTGCTGCATAGTCCTCTCTCCTCATTTTTATAGGATTATTTTCAATCATGAAATTACATCTAGCATTTCATTCTGATGCTATCTTTGGTTTCAACGAAAATCAATATGCCACTTCCAGCTGTGTTCTTTCTTACGTCAATGGTTAGATAAAAGACTGAAAGTTGTGTAGCAACTCATGCTATCCAGAAGACGAACCTCTTGATACAGCAATAGTTTTGAATAAATCTCTTTTTTTAAAAAAGCCTTGTTTGGAGGAGAAAAGATGGCTCCATTCACGGCAACGGGAGTTTTGCCAAACACTTTAGTCATGTCAGAGTAATAATTCCTCTCGGGTCAGAAAGTTTCAACTGTCCGATTATATGACATGATTTATTGCTACTATGTTGGCAGGAATAGGATGAGCAAAACAGAGAGAGACAGAGCAGATAAAAACAATATTTCATAGTACCATCTCAGTCAGAGGTGCCATGGATTTTTCTTCGCCTTCTTAAGAGATCAAGCAAGCTAAAACTGCTGTGTATCAAGCAGGATTTAGATAATCGAAAAATGGGGTGGAAAAGCAAATTAAAATTAACAACAGATAGATCTATTAACTGATAGGTGCAAGATTAGACAAGACTAGCCAGATGGTCAGAAAGTTGAGGTAATTTTAATCTGTTTTAGTACAGTATTTAATTTTTTTTAAGCGGGTTTGTGGATTTTTCTCAATTTTGTAAACTGCTTTGAGGTGTTTTTTGTTACAATCAAACAGTGCATAAATTCAATGAAATAAGTAAATAAATAAGATTATCTCCAGTGCCGGTGACCCAAGGTACAATCATGATTTTTCTTTTGGAGAGGAGATGGGGCTTCCATGTTTGGTGGCATTTGGAAATGCCGTGAGAAGTCCTGTCATTTTGTGTAAGAACAGTCTTCCATTATAGTCACTTCCAATGACCAGAGTCCCTAATTCCTTGAGAACAGCAGACAACAGCATTTTCAGACAATAGCTTCCATAAATTCAGCAAGATCCTGTTAGAAATACAAGTCAAGGAATTTCTTTGCTCCTCTATTAATACTGTTTGATCTCCCTCTTTCTCTAATATTTGGAGTGCAAACAAGGGGTCGGTAGGCCTGCCAGCTTGGAAGGCCAACGGGGAGCCCAGGAATAAGAAGGAAGGAGGAGATTCGTGGTGACACAATGGGTCAGTGCATCTAGCTGTTAAACAGAAGGTTGGTGGTTCGAGCCTACTCAGGGACATCTGTGGGCAGGATTCTCTACAATTCTATGAAGAACATTAATTCTAATGACATTCAATATGGGTAAGGAAGGCCTGAGGAAGATAGCAGACCATGGGAAAAAGAAATGCCTCTGGGGAGAATATGATTGGGACGTGGAGGTAAGTAGATAAGAGTGAACTAAAATGTTAATTTGGTGTCAGAACCTGGGCAAGTTCATATCTAAGACTATATTTACTATATAAAAAGCATCCTCCCTTGTAGAGAACCATGGTTAATATTTGCTCTAACTGTTAAGGTTCTGAACACATGAATTTTGATACCAGCCTTGCATTTAATCCCAATCATGTAGCATGATGCATGTGGATCGTGAGTGAAATAGTTGCAGTTTTGTTTTCCACTTATGCAGGGCAAATTACTTTTATAAAAGAACTGCTCTACCTGATACAACTGCAAGAATGGAATCTGATCAATACTTGTATCCTTCTTCAGAAAGCAGAGAGTAGCTTCTAAGGCACTCCCATTGATCTCTTGTCTTTCCCCCATAAAGACTGATCAACATAAGACGCTTCCAGACCACCCACCTGCAATTATATATACTACACCATCACATAAATGTAAAAACTTGTGCGCTACTTTATATATGCACCTCTGCGTACTTCTTATGCGGCTATTGTTCATTAAGGACACCTAATTACTTTTGCAATCATACATTCACCCGCCAGCGTCTAAGTAGTGCGTATCTCTTTTTTACAACTTGAACAATGGACTTAACAACCTGATGTTTACGTATTAACAAAAACGTATTTAATTTTACTGCTGTAATAGAAGAATAGAGGGGAGTAAAATAAAGTACTCTGCTAACAACTGCATAAGCCTCTGCTGGACTGAAGCCAAGCTGATCCACCCTAGTTTACACAGGTGGTCGCTGCTAGAAAGGAAATCTAATCTACAAAGTCTTAGTATCTTAGCCACCAAATAATCTCGAATTTTCCTCTAACTGGCTTGCAATATTCTCACTCCCAAGGCATCTGTATGCATACTATGAATCACCACACATGCCTTATCTCAGCTATAGGCTAGGTGGAAAGTCTGTGGCCAGATGTCCTGCTGTTTTGATTTTTCTTTAGAAAAAGATACTAGGGGAGAGCTCCAAATTGGATCAGAGCATCATACTAGGAGAGGAAGGTATCTCTTTTCCCCATGCCAGCTTGCTAATTGCAATTAGACTAAGTAAAAAACAACAACACCTGTCTCTGCTCCTTCCCCAAGAAGTCAATAGCAGCTTTACAGTGTATTCCCTTATATGTTTACTTCGGAGTAGGCCCCATTATGTTCAATGAGGCTTACTCTCAGATAAGCCTGCAATCTTAGAACAAGGGCATGGCATGGGGTCAGCCTCACCCTATCCCCAGAACTTCTGCTTTGATTCAATTTGGAAGGGCTCTTAGCGGCTTCTTTTAAGTAAAGATCCAAAGACAGGGAGACCAAACAAGCTAGGTAGGAAATTTGTGATCTGTGTCCGACTCTTCGTGACCCCATGGACCAGAACACGCCAGGCACTCCTGTCTTCCACTGCCTCCCGCAGCTTGGTCAAACTCATGTTTGTAGCTTCGAGAACACTGTCCAACCATCTCGTCCTCTGTCGTCCCCTTCTCCTTGTGCCCTCAATCTTTCCCAACATCAGGGTCTTTTCCAGAGAGTCTTCTCTTCTCATGAGGTGGCCAAAGTATTGGAGCCTCAGCTTCAGGATCTGTCCTTCCAGTGAGCACTCAGGGCTGATTTCCTTAAGAATGGATAGGTCTGATCATCGCTTAGCTATGTTCCATGGCAGGCCTCTTGCAATCAGTTTCCAGTGCGGTCTTCAATGCCAGGGAGAGAGCAACAATCTCGACCCAGAGAAAGTTCACAGTATCACTGGTACAGGCCATCCACACAGAATGGGCAGAGAACAGAGCTTAGCAGGACACAATCAATTGGCATTTGAAATTTGGACTAGAAAGAATCAGAGCTGGAAGGGACCACAAATGTCATCTAGTACAACTCTTGCCAATGCAATCCAGTATCAGAACATCTCTGATGGTCACCCAACCTCTGTTTTAAACTCTAAGAAAAAAGATCTCATTGCCTTCTAGGCCACCTGTTCCACTGCCAAACAGGAAGTTGAGAGTAAATCCCTTTTCTTGTAGTTTTACAACCCAGTCAGATGGGTGAAGTACAAATAATAAAATGATGATGATTTTAACCCATTGATTTTAGTCCTACTCACTGGTGCAAAAGAGAACATAGTTGCTGCACGACCTATGGAACAACACTTCAAATCATACTGCCTCTTAAATTGTCTCTTCTTCAGTTCAAATATTCCCTATTTCCGACTTTCCTAACAGCATTTAGTCTCCACAGGCCTCCCCATCTTTGTTGCCCTACTCTGGACACTTTTCACTGTTGATATCATCCTCAAACTGCTAGAAATAGACAGCACACAAGAATCTTAAGAGCATAAGAGCTGGAACGTAGCAAAGTGGCTAAGAGAGACGAATCAGGAATTCCTCAGTTCAGATCTAACCTGTGGCATAAACTCACAAGGTGCTCACTCTCAGTCTCAATTTCCCCATCTGCAATAGAGATGATAACATTAGCTTGGATCCAAAGATGCCTTGTGCAAGCAGAAAAGCAATTCTACTTGTGTGAGGAAGGCCTGCCAAATTGTTAACACTTATCCATCTTGCCCCTTTGACCCACCCTACACTGTTCCAGAGGTCCCACCAAGAAGCCAGCAGAGGCCTTTTGTGACACCCAAATTCTGCTAATCATCATCATCACCATCATAAATTTTATTATTTATATGCCACCCATCTGACTGGGTTGCCCCAGCCACTTTGGGCAGCTCCCAACAAAATATTAAAAACACAGTAAAACCTCAACATTGGTTAGAGTGTGGTACTGATAACGCCAAGGTTGCTGGTTAAATCCCTGTATGGGACAGCTGCATATTCATGCCCCGCAGGGGGTTGGACTAGATGATCCTCAGGGTCCCTTCCAACTCTACAATTCTATGATTCAAAAACTTCCTTGTCTTAATCCAACAAACTAGCTTTCCTTTCCTGTAAAGACGGTGACTAGATAATGTACATGGAGCGCTTTGAACACTTGAAATCACTATATAAATGCATTCCTATTAAGAGGCTGCCGTTGAGAATCTCCCTCTTTCCCCCTGTCACACCACTGACAGCTCAGGAGAGGAAACATGCACACCAACTTCCTAAATCATTGCTGGCAAATGCTTATTTAATTGACTGCTTTTTCAGAAGACAATAGTGTAGAAAAATACTGACAAAAGCTAGATGCGTTCCATCAAAGAGAACAATCTCCCTTGCAAAAGCCACTCTGCATGATAAGTTGGCTGAGATAGCAGGTAAGTAACTGGCCTCTTGTACCTGGCTTTCCTGTTCACCTTTCCTCCCACTTGTGGTGATTTAAAGCACTCTATTTAAACTTTTTTATTTTATTTTACTATCAGCCAACAAAACGACACGCAGACACCTGAAAGCTGTTTTGTTCCCCTTGCTCCTTTCATTCTGAGCTTGTTTTCGACATGGCACGAAAGCACTTGCTGATAAACAAAGTCAAGATCCTTTTCCAGAGTACCTGCTGTCGTACCCTGTGATAAGGAAAAGTTAATCCAAACAGCTGCTTAATCTAGGGTATTTCCTCCTATCGCATGCAGTCAGCAGAGTCTACAATCTCTGTTTATCTTCATAGGACTATGGCTCCAGTCATATCATCTATACATTCTGCTCTCTATTGTGCTGGCAATGTTTTCTAAGGCATGTCAAGTTTGAATTTTAACTCAGTTGTGTTCCTAGCCAATTGGTGATAGCAGTAAATATCCGAAGCACGCCAACTAATGAGTTAAACACCAAGCGGTTTTCTTGTGAAAAGATAGTTGATAAAAGAAGACTGGTGTAGTTTGGACTACATATTCCATTTTTCTTCATATTTCATTTATTTTTAAGCGTTCTATTTTTAAACCATCTTTCTTCCATGTCTGCCCCAGATGTGTCCTTATAAAAACCCAGCAAAAAATTGGAACATTTAAAAACAAATTAAAGAATAAAAATAGAGTTGGTAAAAAGCAGCATAATATCAAACACTGCGAACAGTTTTAAAAGCATCCTGCAAAATTCCAAATGATCCCAGGGAGAAAGTTTCATGTTTCCCATAAAACCGCTGACTTGACAACACCTGAGTGTGACATGCCCACCTAAGGGTGGGATCAATTGATAAAACCACAATTCTGCATGTAACAGTGACCATAACCAGCATAAAACCAAGACAATCAGCAGCAAAACAAACACAGGCAGATCAGAGATGAAGCAGCAATGACCTGCACCAAGTAAATGACCGTGTCTTAATTTGGTACTGGAAAGAGAACATCACTGACATCAAGCAGGCCTCCAAAGGGAGGGCATTCCATACCTGGAGCACAATAGCAGAGAAAGCCCTAGCCCTCTCCTGTGCTTCCACATAACGCATGCCTCCCACAGGAGGGACAGCAAAGGAGAGCAAATCTTAACACCTGAGCAAGGGCATATTTTCAAGGATTGCGGTCCAAAATCATTCAGAGATTTAAATGTCATCATTAACACATTGGCACTGGAAACATACTGACAGCCAGTGCAGTTCCTTTAGGACCATGTTATATGGTTCCTATACAGTGGTGCCTCGCAAGACGAAATTAATTCGTTCCGCGAGTTTTGTCGTCTTGCAATTTTTTTCGTCTTGCGAAGCACAGTGTCGGGAAAGTTTTGGAAAAGCTTCAAAAATCACCAAAGTCTTTAAAAACCTCAAAAAGGCTACCACACCGCGTTCTATGAGTTGCTCCTCGAAGTCAAGTCGCAACTGTATTAACGGTGTTAAGAAAAAGGAAACAAACTTGCAAGACGTTTCCATCTTGTGAAGCAAGCCCATAGGCAAAATCGTCTTGCGAAGCAGCTCAAAAAACAAAAAACCCTTTCGTCT